GGTTGGTTGGTAGGGATCTGTTCGAGCCTGCTGATTGGCTGATAGCGAAATTAGACGGAACAGTTGGGGTGGCATGAGCCCCCACGCAAGCACTGCGGCGAGTAAGCACACGCGCAGCCAGATTAACGCAAACCAGAGGCCAATAGGATCCGCGCCTTGGTCTAACTCGGTTGAGTATGCAAACTCGCCCAAACATTGATACTGGACTACCTACTCACTGGTATCAGTAGAAGGGCCATTCGTCTTGTGCCAACTTTAAATGTAAGTAATTGGTTTTGTAGAACACAGGTCAGGTGAGGTGTCAGTCTTCACCTTGTCAGAACTCAACCTGAGGGCCGTTGTAGTCGAAGAAAACCCAAGACTTTGGGTGCTGCAACACTGTCGCCGCAGGCAAGCTGCGAATAACTGAGGTATGTGTGGCCGAGAGGCTAATTTGCTAACACTCACAACATGAACGTAGGCAGGCCCGTGTCGGCGAAAGATAACTTCGAAATCCAATCATAAGTAGTGAAGTTAATCGTCGTCGGGGGCTGAAGCGATCTATAGACATCCGGCCAGATTTATTTTCGACACTTCATCCATAAAATGAGAGTGGATAGTAGCAGTGAGAATGATGGAACTGTTTATCTTCCAGTCCTTGACTGCTTGTTTTTAATTTACCACAGTGCCCCCAAAACGGGTCACGCGGTAGATGTGCTTGAACTCGAATTAGCACAAACTCCGCATGAATGCAACTTAAAAACCATGGAAACCTCCAAAGCAGGAGATAGGAACGTCACTAAGGTGAGCAGCAATAAAGCACAGGCAGCACGAGGATTCACGTCTAACATCTCTGCGCAGAAATGATCGGGTGGATCTTCTTAAAACCGTCCATCACTTGGACTCCGTTCATTTCAACGACCTTATGATGTACACACAAGCTAAGAAAAAGTGATATATTCAAAAATCTTAAAATGGAAAAAAGATCTTGCGACCACCAATCGTATAAATTTCTAAAACAAAGCACGTGGTTTAAACGCTCAACAGTTTCATGCATTTACCGATAGCGCACAGAGACGAACAGAAAAGGTAAGAATCTCCCTTAGACTGCAGCAATTTGAGCAAGGTCACGTGTAAATAGGAAGGCTCTAAGCTGGTACGACAACGGTCGCTTCGTCACTATAACAACTTAAATAACACAGGGACCGAAATAGATAGGTAAGAGAGTATCCGACAGAGGGACAATCAAACATACTTTGAAGGCGATTAACAAAAGCTCGAACGTCTGCTTGCTCTGCAAATTCGTCCACTGTGCGCTGTACACGACTGCGCCGCTGGACAGCAAGGGAGGAAGTTGGTGCGGGAAGACGAACAGCAGAGGGTGTTTGTCCGAGCCCCGTCTCGTCAGACCCCGGAACTTCTTTGTCTGCTTCCGACGGCTCTTCCTCAACTCCATCCTCTTCTTCCGCCTCGGCGTATCCGTCAGATGTAGGATTGGGCGCAACGGTTGCCTGATTGCTTTTACGGCTTTTGCGGCCGATTGCACCTGTTTCAGGGGCTTTACTGGACTGCGGCTGAAGATTGCTAGAAGCCAGTTTGGCTGCCTGAGGACGGGATGGGCAATAGCCAGTGATCTGAGGGTTAAGAAGGACATCTTCGACATGGAGAAGCGGTTTCAAAGACACCGCCCGATCGATAAGGCGATGCAATTCAGGCGAGGAAAGGTTGTCTTCAACAGCGATAACCACATGACAGACGCTAAACAGAAACGAAATCACCTGAAAAGAGAGTATGAAGAAGCTATTGAAATCGAACCCTTTGTGAACAGGGTAAAATCAACAAGGGGAGTGAAACCATTGACCTGATTAGTTAGATCAATTCGTAAACAAAAAATATATTGCCTCAGCTTTGATTTGATCTACTAGGATTCGGGCGGGCAGAAACACGGACCCATGAAGCCTACAAACTCGCCCACAACCCAACAAGTTAACGAGCCTCCTACCAAAAACAGCGATGGGGCCAGTCCACTGAAGGGGAGTACGGACTCGCCGACAAAGCAGAAACCAAAGCGAAGGACTATCTCGGACTGAAGAGCCCATTGCTGGACATCGAAACCAGTTTTTAAACAACAGCATGAGGGGAGGGTTCATATTACTTGCTAACCTGAATTGCAGACATTTCTGAGAAGAAATCGGAAGACCATTTGCCAGGGCCTGCACAGACGGTCATCGACCGATCACTCCGAGTTACTTCTTCCAGCTTGCCACCACTGTTTTCGTTGGCAGTCTGGGCGTAGATATCCGTAACAGACCATGACAGAAGCGGCTAAAATGATAAATCTAGCCACAGAAATCAAAACCTGTGTGTCCAATAGTATCACTCGGTCCTGAGTTATGTACATATCGATTCCAGTCGTGGCCGGATTATTGTTCACTAAGGACTGAACTGTCTCGACAGGAAAAGGACCATCCAGAGGACCACTAGGCTGGTCAAGACGGTTAGCCATAAGGTTGAGAATGGAAGACTTTCCCGATCCCTTAGCATACAGGGTAGGCTGACGGAAGGGACAAATACCTGTGTTCCGATCACACCAATCACCATAAAGCCAGAATTTTCAATGAAGTAGTCACGAAGTCCGGGTATATCCGAGAACTTTAAGTCCGCATCAACTAATTTGACTGGCACAGTCATTGGGTCGTCACAGAGTGCATATAAATCGTCAATCGCGTTAACTGCCTCAACGTCGATGTCTGGTGGAGGATTCTGGAAAAACCGGAAAACTCCATGTTGGCGTGCTGCCTTTTGATGGAAAATAACTGGTAAATACAATCATGTAAGGCACCTTCGAATCCGACATAGTCTTTCTTGAAGAATAACTGAGTTCCTGGGACTAATCAATGGGAACAATTTGCGGAATGTTACCACCGGCTATCAGGCGATTGGTAACCAGCCTGCCAGCGACTCAAACGATAAACCCGCACCGAAATTCAGGGAATAAAACGTTAGTCGTTGTCAAAGTAATGGGCAAAGCCTTGGAGTTCTTCCTAATACGAGATGGTTTGAACATCTCTGAGTTCTCCAGGTGAGTCTACATTAATGTTGCTGTCCAGGTGTGGACAGACTTATGAGATTTATGAACAAGACACCGCGTTCCCACACAGAATGGCTGATCATTGCCATGCGGATTTTCGGATGGCCTCTTTCACGGCGCATTCGGCCCACAAAGTTACTGACAACTTCTTCGTCTATTTTAATTTCGTGTGGTGCCCAAGGCCACAGCGCGCTTCGACCCTCTGAATTAACCTGTCATATATACCTCATATGTATCCTAACTGTAGTTCGGATTCCTTATAGCCCACCTAAGCCACAGCCAGTGAGAAGTTACGTGTCGCACATTTACACCAGAACGATTGTTTCGAATACAGGGCGCGAGGACATAATATAAAAGGGGACATCACACAGTTTTGAAATTACCATGCCCTAGCTTCCGCGGGCAGTTTATATTTTCGTCTGTCGCATTCACCTGCAATCCGATCCCTCAAGCAGTTTCCTGTCGATTCCTCCAAATTGTTTCAAAATATGTGTATCTGAGCCACGGATTGCCCAAACTCCTACGCCATTGACTTTGCACTTGGCCAGTCCACTTTCCACACCGTTTTGCTGCACGGAGTTTTAGAACGCTTAATCTGTTCACTTTCTCCGTACTGACAACGGTGCCCAGATCTCATAGGGAAAAGTTGGCATGCAAACGAATCTCTTGGAAGGCCAGATTCCTAAAAAACCATATTTTCGCTTCTCAGTGTTCATTCCTGGACCCTCGATCTCCCTTACAAATTGGCAGAAGTCCGAAGGCAGATCCGTCATATAATCACTTCGATAATCCCATAGAAATTTATGTTTTCTCAATCACCCACACTGATCTTCTCATACCCTTACGTCTAAAATTCGGAGGTTATTCAAAATTCAGTGTCTAGTATAAATAAATAGATAATTTTATTGAGTACCATTAAGGATATATTCATAGCAGCTGAAAATAAATTTTCAAATAAATGTTGGAAAAAGTAAACAGGTTCTATACGTTGTTCAGTCCGCGATTATAGAATAGGTAGTCAAACATTAAAAGTGGTCTGTAAGTAGTGAAAAAACTCCCTATAAAAAGGACGAAATTAATATTAATTCGTTAAATTTTAAGGAGAAAACTGCTACCGCTAATAAAAGGCTAGATATAGAACAGATTAGAATAGGTTTATTATAGCGTCCCTTGGGCACTGTCAGTCCTCTTGAACTGAGGGAATAAAAACCAATAACGAACTCATCCATTTTGACTACGCTTTGACTTCGTCCGTTTAAGGTGTCGTTTTAGCCAATAGAGCGCTAATTAAGAGTTCTTTAAGTTAAAAAAACCTGACTTCCAAGGCAAAATGATCGTAAAAGTTTTTTTAAATGAAACGATGTATACAATATAAAATTAAAGTTCGCAGTTTGGTAGTTTTCCGGGGCATGTATAATAAGTCCTTCATGTGATATTGGTGTGACTTTGAAATTATTTTCGAGTTCAGTATATACGGCTGTCTTCTAGTTGCCGGTAGTCAGTCAATCTTGTTACGTCTCTGATCCGATAGAGGGCGAACTCCAAAGAGAATTGAGGCAATATATAAAGAAATAATTAGACGTGTATTACATTGAACCTACTACGGTCCTCTCTAATGGCCAAATGTACGTAGATAGGGCGGCGGGAGCCTTCGATTAACAGTAAAGTCGGCAGACGACAGACAGCCGGAGCTCGGGCATCCTTCTTCCTTCCGTGGTTAGCTATCTGGCGTATTTATAGGACCTCAGTCGTTAAAGTAGTCCTCAGTTTCGAATCCGGCGTTGTGATTGATCGAGTGGTATTGTGAAAAGAAAATGGAGCAAACTTGAGTCATCATCCTCCTCTTCTCCCACCTATTCCTCCTCCTGCCCCACTGCACCAACCACGGCCGCTCTGGTGGCTGTCACTCACACCAGCATCACACACATCCATGACACAACAACAGACACCATTCCTCCAACCTCCGACTCCATGGGTGAGGACCAGGACTACACCTGCCCTCACTGCGACCGCACCTTCACCTCACATATCGCCCTGGTCAGTCACTTGCGAATCCATCGCACAGAGACTGACGAACCAGTGCCAGAAGGACCAATCTACACCCACCGCTCTCGCCTCCACTGCCAACACTGCCCTCGCACCTTTACGCATCGCATGGGCCTATTCGGCCACATATGCATCTACGAGAGCGGAATTGACCACCACGCCAAACCCCATCACCACTTCAAGACCCATCACTGTCATCGCAACTGACACCGACACCACCGACGTCGCCTGTCCACACTGTCCACGCACCTTCACCTCACGCATCGGCCTGGTTGGTCACTTGCGAATTCATCGCACGGGGACTGGCGAACCAGTGCCTGAGGCACCAATCTATGCTCACCAAGCTCACCTCCACTGCCCACGCTGCCCTCGCACTTTCACGCATCGCATGGCCTACTCGGTCACATGCGCATCCAAGACGACCTGCGTAGACAACCGCTGGTTACACCACACATCCACACACACCCCCTACCTTCCTCCACCATTACCACCACACATCAACACTCACCCACCGTATGCACCCAACTGCCACCTCCCACGTAGGTGGGAAGTGTGCATCTCGACTCGGTCCCCATGCGACTTCGGCTGCACGGGCGACTTGAGTCTGCGATTATCCCGACACCTCAAGCGTCGTCCCTAGTAGCAAACTATATCGAGGCGATATCTATTAGATATTTATTTTTCGAGATACCTATATCGAGTATATATCGATTTTGTCCGCGGCCTAGATATCGAGACGATATCTATTTTTCGAGATACTACGAAATCGGCGATAGGGACAGGTTAGGGCACGCGCATGCTGCGGTTCCTTGTTCTTATACCCATATCTAATTTTATTATTGTCTGTTCGCCTTAGTCATTCCCATCCCGGCTTACTAGGCCTGCTGTTGCTCACTTTATAACGCGTTGAACGAGAAAATTCACGTGGCTATTGCAACCGAGGTAACCAGATCGACCAAAAAGAACTATTTTGAAGGCGTGTTAGAAGGGAAAAAGTTTTGAAGGCGTGTTAGAAGGGAAAAAGTTTATTGGATTAAAAAATAATTTAAAAAAGGTTTATTACATAGAAACATCTTGCGTGGATGATGGTCCATCACTCATTGAACATCCTGCTTGAACATTTGCTTGACGAAGTCATCTACATTGTGCCCACCAAGACATGTGAGGTAGGACGTCTAATGCAAGAGGGAGTTACAAATATGGTAGCATACCAATTGCTTTCGGAAGCTATTGTCCAGTACTTGGTTTCGAAAGTCATCGGCGTTCTCCTGTGGCTCCTAAAAAGGTATACTGGTGTTATTTTCCATCACTTACTGGAAAGTCTCATTTCCATACCTCTTAATACGACATATTCGTGTTCTCCGGGATCCCTGCCTAAACATAGTTAACATGGAAGAGTAGCAAACAAGAGATATAAATCAGTAATGGAAAGTAAGTGCAAGGACTGTCAACTCACGCGTTCCACGCCGCTCACGCGAAATAATGGCGCGGCCGCGTGTGCGCGCAATCGATAGACGACTAAAGAACGGCAACCAATGAAATGTCAGATTGCATGAGCGAGGTGGCCAATTACGTGATATCTCGATAAATCGCTATTCACGTATATCGACTCGATATCTATTGCTACTAGGGGTGGATAGGAAGGTTGCTGAATGACGCCCGCTCTCGGTTCACGCAGTTCGTCGCGTTGTGTGCGTGTGTTGTGCGGAGTGTGGTGGACTAGTGGGCTGGGGACGGGCTGAACCAGCACCTTCCACGGCCCTCTCACGCAAATTAGAGACACGCCGTTCAACCCCCGTTAAGTAAAATCCTGGTGTTTGTGTGTATGGGGGCTAGGTCGTGCTCGTGGTGCGCACAGTCATGATCAATCGATCATGCCAGCTACCGCGCCCATTTCCCACTCCAGTCTACTGACCGGCTCGGACAGCGGCGTGGGTGTGGGAGTGGGAGTGGGAAGGGTGAGTGAGGTCGACGACTCAGCGCATTTTCTCCTCACTATAAACAATCTGACGCGCTTGAAGCTATCACGGTGCGCTAAAAGCCGTGGCTTGGAAGGTTGCCAACTGACGGGGTAACTTGGACCTCCTCCTTGACGGGAGGCGGTCTGAGAGTCAGGCTGCAATGGCTTCTTCTTAATGTGGCCTTTATGGCGCTCCCACCACAGTGTGGGATGCGAGCCAGGCGTTGGCGGCACGCCCAGATGCGGCTTCGGCCGTGCCAGCCTCCAATCTCTGTTGTGTTGGTTGAAATCCTGGTCATTTGTTGTGTGGACCAGGGGGCGCGGTGGAACGCCAAGGTGAGGATCCGTCCGAGCCATCCACCTGCGGCCTCCCTCGTCTCCGGTCTTATTGACTCTGTCTTGACACCGGGTTCGGGCGAGGGAGGAGAGAGTGTAGGTAGATGCAGCGCAAGTCTAATGGCACTATAAACCCCTACGCAAGTCACCGTCCCTGCTCCCACCACTGCTGCAGATGTGAGGCACACGATGGACATCATCGAAATCGATGGTCGAACTGTCATTAAGTAACTTAATATTAAACCCAAATTATATCAAAGAAGACACTATGTTTTGACTTACCAAAATGCATAGACCAAATTGGTCCTGCAAACACAAATTCTATAAGTAGTAGTAGCGATTGCGTGCGCCCCTGAAGGGCTGGTGGTGTAGGTTACAGTTCATTACAATCTGGCCAGCTGCTAGGGGGCGGTCACACAGTTTGTTCCTGTTTTTCAGGAGGTTTGTCATAGTTGTCTGGACTAAGAGCTGGAAAAGATGAATATATATCAGGAGTAAGAAGCATTCGATGGTAAGTCACAATCAAAGCTGTCAAAATAATATTGAATTCTAGTATTACATTGTTCTTGTGAATGTGACATTATACGAGAAGTGGTCGAATGCTTACTATGAGCTAATATGGCTATGCATATGCTTTATATTGCGTTAAAATAGACTTACGCACAACTGATTTGCAGGGCTTTGTCGAAAGGGATGTCATTATTAGATCCTTAAAGGATATTTAGTGTCAGGTTACATAACCGATGGAAACGAAAAAGGGATGAAAGAAAAAATACCACTATCTGTTCTATGTTTATCAATGATGCTGTTTTTCATAAAGGTAATTGTTTTTAGTGCTAGGTTCCGGTATTATTCAAGCGGCTGACATAATCAGAGTCCTTTTTGTCCAAATTATACTACAAAGCATTGACTTGAAAATGTCCTATATTATTTGAAAATAGAGTTGCATTGTTAGTTGGAAGGAATTTCTTATTTTTTATTTTAAACTCGATTAGGGTTCGACTTTTCCCGATAGAACTTGGAAGGGCATTCCAGATAGTGGCATATCTCGTGGAGTAGACATTTGAGCGTTGACACTTTGTGAATTTGGGAATCCTTAGTTTAGACCATTTTGGAGTCTTCTGATCCAGAGGGATCGAAAACCGTATTTATGATATAGTTTTAAGTATGAACCCTGGATGCCATCACTTGTGGACAAAGATTCAGTAAAACGTCTTTGACTTCCTTCTAGTTTCTTTCGGTCGTCTGAGGGCATTAAGCCGATGACAATTGAGCAATAATCTACAATAGGTAAAAAAACATTTTGAAACGTTGTATTCTTAGTACATTCAATTTGAAATTTTTACACATGAATCCACACAGGCGAGTGTCGTTCGGTGATATTTGTTGGACGTGGGGGTACTTGTACAGCCGAGAGCTAGATCGTTTGCCCATTGGGTCTCCCTTACTTCATTATCATTATGCGGGGAAGTTTTTGTGGGCCAAAGATTAGGAGATGAAATTTTTCGGGTGAAAAGTGCATCTTCCATTGACTACTCCATTCGCTGAGTTTTCTGAGGTCCCTTTCGGCTGTTCTACGAATATTGGCAACAGTGTGCCCGTCATATGCATATGCAAGTTAAAGGTCGTCCGCATATAAAAACGTCTTAACTGATACTGATATAGACGATAAATCGTGAATATATACGAGAAATAGAAGGGGACCAAGGATAGTGCGTTGAAGTACTCCACTGGTAATAGGGGATGGTTCTGAGACTACGTTTCGAATATGCATTACTTTATATCGGTTTTGAAGACAGGATTCAAGAGAGTCGAACGGGGGGCCTTAGTCCATTACCTTTTTAGCTTCCTCAGTAGTCTCTTATGTGACTTTGTCTAAGGCTTTCTTTAGATCGAAGTATGTTGAAGCTACTCTGTTTCCATCATCTCTATTGTTGGATGCGAATTCTAGAAAAGTAAGATGGCAGGACTGACATGACTTGTTAGGTAAAACTGCGTATTGATAGGAGGAATGACAGTGGCGTTCATAAATGCGGTTCGAGCAGAAGTAACTCACATGGTATTGTGTAAGGGGTTGAAAACAGCTATCGTTAAGGCAGACTTCCTTAACTGGATGAGCCTATCCGTCTCGTAGTGGCGAGACAGAGGAACCTAGACGCGGTCGGTCACAGTTCGCTAAGAATCCAGCCGATGAGGGGACATTGAATGTTAGGGCCGTCATCAAAGCATGGAGGGGAGATGTGACCTTAAGACCTCTTCGCCGACCGACAAAACTACTAGCAAATTGCAAAAACTGAGGAATCCGCCGAGTTCGCCAACAGACCATTTGAGTTCGAAATCAGAATTTGACATTAAGAACAGCAAAAATAATCAATTGGGGGTGAGGGTTCGAAATAGTTGGGGCTAGAGCGGGTTCCTGATTAGGGTCGGCGAGTGGCGAGAGAGAGACGGCTTGGAGCGTGCAAGTCAACCTAGCCCCACTACCGCTTCGAGAGGATTTGTCAGAGGGGATATCGCGTTCTGTGAGGACATGATGCATGAAGTGAAACAGAAAAATCAAAAGCCCTGATAAGAGATTATAGAAAGTGATATTGCACACATAGCGAAAGAAATCTGAGCATATACTGTATTTTGGTGGTGGCAACTTAAATTTCCGATGTCCTTTCTCGATATCATGAAGAATTTTGACAGAAAAGATGGGGAAAACAAAAGTTTAGTCGAGGCAGTATTTAGATAAAGTCGTGGCCTTCTCTCAAAAGTCCGTTGATGATTAGGTGGTCTTACATTAACTGAAGGTTATCTCAAAGTAAAGCGTACCTGGAAGCGGAAAAAGGGAACGCTAATAGGTGGTAAAAGCCAGAGAAAGAATTGTGAAGATTGTGTGGGCTGAAACTATGGGTAAGGGCTGAAGTCCGAGGAAGGGTTGAACTACTATTACTGTGAAAGAGGATACAGAAGCCTGCTACAAGCCTCCGAACTATTTAGCCGCCATCTATGTGAGTAATAAATATTTGGGTGTACCTTACCTAACAGTATTTTAGTAAAATGCGTTTGAAAATTTTCCATCTTTTAAAGACTGGATAATATGATTACTTAATTATTATTTTGCAATTAGCTAGTATTACTGTTTGCTGCATGAGATGTTTATTGATTCCCGCCACCATGCCGATGAGTTCGGAGATCAGAAATAGGCCTTTCTTTCCAGTGCTAAGCTACTGACCGTATAAATCTTCCTCAGCTTTCAGCCCTTACCCCTGTAAGTCGCCTACACAATCTTCGTTATTCTTCCTTGTTTATACCTTCTTCCGCTTCCCACATCTCTAAGTGCTCAATTTTTTCGCTTC